ATTGACTTCACAGGTGAATCCTAACGAACATTTATAGAAGAATTAGAACCTATCCTTATCAAACTATTTCAAAAACTGCAGAGGAAGGAGTACTTCTGAACTCATTCTATGAGTCAAGCATCACCCTGATACCAAAATCAGACGAAGATGTCACACACAAATAAGAAAATTATAGGGCAATTTCACTGACGAACATAAATGCAAAAATCCTCAACAGAATACTAACAAACCAAATCAAACAATACATAAAAGAATCACATACCATGAAAAATGGAACTCATCCCAAGGATAATAATTTTTCAATCCACAAATCAATGTGATACACCATATCAACATATTGAAGAATAAAAACCATATGATCATCTTAATAGGTGCAGAATGCTTTTGATAAAAATCAACATTTATTTATGACAACTCTCTAGAAAGAGGACACAGAGAAAACATACCTCAACATAATAAAGGCCATATTTGACAAACCCACAGCTAATATCATGAAGGGAAAATGCTCCTCTCTCAATCATGTCCAACTCTTTGCAATCCCATGGACTGTAGCTCACCAGACTCCTCTGTCCATGGGAATTCTCCAAGCAAGAATACTGAAGTGGGCAGAAGTACCCCCCCTTATCCAGGGGATCTTCCCAACCCAGGGATCCAACTCTGGTATCCCACATTACAGGCAGATTTTTTTTACCATCTGAGCCACCAGGGAAGGCCCAACTAACACCATAATCAATGGTAAAAAGCTGAAAGCATTTCTTCTAAGATCAAGAACAAAAAAAGAATGTTCACTCTGTCAACAAAGTTGTGAAGTTCTAGGCATGACAATCACACAACAAAAAGAAAAGAAATCCAAATTGGAAAGGAAGACATAAAAGTGTCATTGTTTGCAGATGGCATGATACTATACATAGAAAATAAAAAGTATACTACCAAAAAATTATCAGAGCTCATCAATGAATTCAGTAAAGTTGTAGGATGAAAATCAATACACAGAAATCTGTTGCATTTCTGTACATTAGCAATGGACTGTCAGCAAGAAAATTTAAGGAAATAATGCCATTTACTATGATTTCAAAAAGAATAAAAAACCTAGGAATAAACCTGCCTAGGGAGGCAAAAGACCAGTATGCAAAAACTATAAGACACTGATGAAAGAAATTAAAGACACAGATAGAAAGAAAATACTATGTTCTTGGATTGGAAGAATCAATATTGCTAAAAAGGCCATAATATCAAGGCAATCTATAGATTCAATGTAATCCTTGTCAAATTACCACCATGTTTTCACAGAAATGAAACAAATAATTTAAAAAATTTGTATGGAAACACAAAAAACTTTGAATAGCCAAAGAAATACTGAGAAAGAAAGATGGAGCTGGATGGATCAGGTGCCATGACTTCAGACTATATTCCAAAGCAACAGAAATCAAGACAGTATGGTACTTGCAGAAAAACAGAAATATAGATCAATGGTACATGATAGAAAGCCCATAGATAAACCCATGCATTCATGGTCACCTTATATATGACAAAGGAGGCAAAAATATACAATGGAGAAAAGAAAGCCTCTTCAATAAGTGGTGCTGGGAAAACAGGACAGCTACATGTAAAAGAACAAAATTAGAACAGTACCTAACAACCATACACAAACATAAACTCAAAATGGATCAAAGACCTAAATGTAAGACTGGATACAATAAAACTCTTAAAGGAAAACATAGGCAGAACACTGATATAACTGCATCAAGATCTTTTTTGACCCATCTCCTAGAGTAAAGAAAATAAAAACAATAATGAGCAAACGGGACCCAATTAAACTTAAAAACTTTTGCACAACAAAGAAAACCATAAACAAGACAAAAAGACAACCCTCAGAATAGGATAAAATATTTAAATTATGTGACTGTCAAGGGTTTAATACCTAATATATACAAATAGCTCATACAACTCAATATTCAAAAAAAAAAAAAAAACCAACAACCCAATCAAAACATGAGCAGAAGACCTAAACGGACATTTTTCCAAAGAAGACATAGATGACTGACATATGAGAAGATGGCTAATTATTAGAGAAATGCTAGCCAGATGCAAGTCAAAAACAGAATATGTTAAGTCTCGCAGTGGTCAAAATGGTTATCGAAATGTCTACAAATAAAAAGCTAGAGAAGATGTGGAGAAAAGAGAACTCGGCAGGAAGGAACATAAACTGGTATAGCCATTATGGATAGTAGTATGGCGGTTCCTTTAAAAACTAAAAATGGAGCTACCTATGTGACCCAGCAATCCCACTACTGGGTATTTATCCAAAAAGAAAGAAAAAAGAAAATTCTAACTCAAAAAGATATATGCACACCAATGTTGATAGCAGCACTATTTACAATAGCCAAGGCATGGAAACAACTCAAGTGTCCATCAACACATGACTGTTTTAGGATGTGGTGTGTTACACATATACATAACAGTGAAATATTACTCAGCAATAAAAAGAATGAAATATTGTCACTTGTAGCAACATGGGTGGACTTAGAGAATATTATACTTGGTGAAGTAAGTCAGAGAAAGACAAACACTATATGATATCACTTATATGTGGAATCTAAAAAATAATACAAATGAAACTATATACAAAATAGAAACAGACTCATGGATATTGAAAACAGATGTAAAAGGGGAGGGAGGAGAGGAAAATTACAAGTACTGGATTAACAGATATAAACTACTATACATAAAATAGATAAGCAACAAGGATTCACTGTAGAGAACAGGGAATTATATTCAGTAATAACCTATATTGGAATATAATCTGAAAAAACAACTGAATCACTAAGTTGTATACCTGAAACTCACAAAACATTGTAAGTTAACCATACAACAAGAAAAAATACTTGTGTATTCAAAGTAAAAATTACAACATTGTATTTAGATAAATATGATAACTATTGCATGAGGGACAATGGGTGAAGGTAAACAAATATATGTGGTTGTGAAATTTCTACATTTTATGTAAAGTGTTAAATTAACTCTAATATGGAAAGTTAAGGAAGTATACTGTAATCCCTTGAGCAACTGATTAAAAAGAATATGTGAAGATGAAGATAAGTTGCCTATATGTAAATTCAAATGAATTATAGTAAAAACTTTCAAATAATCCAAAAGAAGGCAAAAGGGGGAGATAAAAGGAACAAAAAATGCAATATCATAGGTAATTATATTTAATATTAGTGAACTAAACATTCCAAGTAAATGATGTAAGAGTGAATAAAAATGCAAGACCCAACTATATGTTCTCTACAGGAGACATGATGGATGCCTAATAATAAAATCTTAAAATACATGAAACAAAGAAAGGACAGAATTAAAGAGAGCAGATAATTCTATAACCATTAAATTTTAATACCAGTTTCTCAGAAATTGGTTACTAGGCAAATATCAGTTAAATCATAGAAGAGCTGATAAACATTATCAGCCACATTTAGCTATTTGATTTTTAAAGTATAAACACAAAATGAATAGAATTAGAAGGAAAAACTCACAATAATAGAGGTTTTAATAATAGGTACTTCTCTAAGAATTCAAAACTCAATAATAAAAACAGTGAAGATTTAAATAGTACAAAGTAAAAATAAGAATTTCAAATTTGATCTTTGTGTAAAAGGAAATTACATTCTTCCCAAGTATACTTGGAACTTCATGGTAATTAATTGTGTATGTTTAATTATAAAATAAATGAAAGGCAGAACAGAAGAGTACTATGATAAGTTAAATAATTCAAAGGAAGACAAATACTCTATGTTGTCACTTATATGTGGGACCAAAAACAACATAAAACAAAACAGAAATAGACTCACAGATATAGAAAACAAACTAGTGGTGATCAGAGTAGAGAAGGAAGGGGGAGAGGCAAATTAGAGTATGAGATGAAATGATATAAACTACTATGTATAGAACAAATAAGCAATAAGGAATATTGCACACTGCAGGGAATTACAGCCATTATTTTGTATAAACTTTAAATGGAGTACAATCTATAAAAATATTTAATCACTATATTGTATACCTGAAACTAATATAAATAATATATCAACTGTACTTCTATATAAATAAATAAAGCATCTCTAAGTAAGTGCCTAAATGTAAGGTAATCTCTTAAGTAAACTGCTAAGATAAATGTTGCAATAATTTAGTCTTTTGCAGATAGAACATGATGGTACAAAAAAATGGCAGACCAACCCAAGTTGGAATAATTCCATCTTTTGATTTATGGGTTACCCACTGTACAAACATACCACTATTTTCTAAATGTAAAACTGTAATTAACACCCAGAAACTGTAACACAATGTATCTGATTAACCTCTAGGTTTTGACTTTTCTATTCTTACAACCAAGAGTATGAGGTAAACACGAAAACTGAGATCATCACCTATATTAAGGAAAATAATATGGCTTCTGAATAAAAGTTATTCATATATTTGACATCTTTATTCTGTCCACTTAGGTAGAGCCAACATAAATCCTAAATATTTCCTTTCAATGAGGAATATACTAAGAAATACAACCTACAATAAAAACCACAGTACTCAAATGGCATAAGTGAAAATAAATGGGAGAATTTAGAAGACAAAAGACTCTAAAGCAGTATAGAAATTAGGTCTAAGAGTTAGATCCATAAAGCGCCATTCTCTCACTAGCTTCCTTACCCCTTAAAATTGGTCAAATTCCCGCATAATTTCCTCTGCTTCAGACACATCAATCATCAATTATTCAATTTTTGCCTGGGAGGTCTCTACATACGTTCAGTTACAATGTAGGAAAGTTGATAGACAGGCAGAAGGGAAGGTTAGAAACTTTGGGTGGGGATCTGAAGGAGGTATAAATGGGTATTTAGAATCAGAAGCTATGTTCTATTACCCCTTTTTAGTGATAATGATACCAAATTTCCCAGTTCAAGTAGTGGCACTGCATCTCCAGAGTTTCTTTCTTTTGAAAGCATGTATCTTACCATGTGGAACTGTGGTCTGGAAAGGACGACTTGGGCTTTTCAGGTTCCATAAAGTCAAGCTACCATCTGAATGGCTGCACATGAACTGTTTGCCCTCATGATGCCAGTCAATTGAATGAATAGCCTAATGAAATAACAATTAAAAACAAACAGAGGAGGAAGAAAGTTGATATATCATTCTATATTCCAAAGGAAAAATATTTTAACACAGAATTATTACAGCAATAACACTTAATGTTTCTGACCTAGATCATACTACCTTTGGCTTCAACTCTCTACAGGCATATAAAAGGCTATAAAATCTTATCTCCTTAGATAAAGAAAATTTAAGTAAATTTCATATTGTTAGATCCCAGAACTTTTTGTTGTAAATCCTATGTCTTCCCCATATCCTTTAATGCTTCTTTGAAAATTATTACAAGGAAGTAAAAGCAAGGTTAACAGAAGATAATCTCGGTGAGGCAGAATTTACTTTAATCTCACTTACTTAAAGTAACCAACTTAAAAAGTAATTTACGTTAGAGTTGCAATTTGAAGGTTAACTATGTGCCAGACCCCAAAATAAGCAGTTTACGTACATTATCTCATTTAATCCTACCAAACAGATATTATGTTTTTCCGAATTACGCATGGTAAAATAGGCTAGAAAGACTGAGACATACCTGATCAGGTTACACCACTCAAATCCAACATTTAACTACAAAACCCATATTTGGAATCAATGAACTATGTTAACTCTAACATATGTTCTTTAAATGGACTTAAAGCAGGAAGAATTTAAAATTGTTTGTATTTACAGATTCATTCTGTAGTTATAAATTAAATTAAAAAGCAATCATTACATTTTCCTGAATTGTTTTATTCCCTATGATTACACAATGTCTTACATAAAGTAGATACCCAAGTATCTGTTAAATGAATAAGTATTTATGTTATCAAATGTTGCCACACCCTTGATATTCTTTCAAAATTAGTAAAGTATATAGGGAACTTGGGTAATGTGCTATTTATTGCACAATGAAAGAAACTCTAGTAGGCATAAAAGTTGAACAGATGTATACAGCATGATCTTTCCTTAAAGGAACTTAAACAACTGCGAGAAAGGAAACTATAACAATACTTATTGTTTGGAACTTTTAATATTTACTTTTTAAATTTATATTTATAAAATTAAGTTATGGATATATTTATTATTTATACAACTAAGTTATGAATATATTTATTTATATCAAACTTATACATATATTTACACACATATTTCCAAACAATAAGTATTATTAGAGTTATAGACAAATGATGGCTAGAGTAATCATTAGACATATTAGAAATGAAACAGTATATCAGTGGACCTCAAGATAAGATTTGATTAATCAGAAACGATACCATGACACAACAGACTTATTTTTTCTCTCACCCTGGTCTCCATTACTGGGCAGAGAAGATTTCTTTACTACCAGGGTTCAGTAGAGGCAGTGAGAGTGGAAAAAACACTTCTTTGTCTCCTCTGCTTATTTCTTCTCATTTTTGTATGTGTCTAAAAGGGAAGGCCACTTCTTGCCTCCTCTACATGTTAACCTGGATGAACCTCAGTCAATTTAATAAGGTTCTCTCAGACTACTTTGATAAAAATGGTAGGTGCAGGGAAAGCATCCCCAGCCCTAATCTTTATATCCCACTGAATTTGTCTACTGGAGAAGACAGATATAAAAACAATAGATATAACACAAAATCAAAATAAGTTGTATAAAAGAAGTACACTTATTGTACAGAAGAGTAGGCATGTAAAACCAACCTGTTATTAAAGAATAGGAAGTCAAATAATCAATTATTGAAGAGGTTGAAGAGCTGGCATTTGAACTTGACTTAATGGGTAAATATTTAATTTCTATTTATTTGATTATACCCTACTCCATTCTTTAAGAAGGACTTTATGGGTTTTCTGAAAAAACAAATATAATACAACTAATTAAAGAAGAAATTTTAAATGGAAAACAATATGGAAAATAAAACACTAGTAACTTTGGTTAATTCAGTGGCTGTGACTGAATTTCTTGTAAACAAAAAAGACAAAGGAAACCCAAAAAGCTAAGTAATAATCTGAAAAAAGGAAAAATAGAAGTTACTAAAGGAATTAAAAGATTATCCTCATGTCAAACTCTGAGAGATTTCTCTGTGAGAGATTATTTTTAAAATATAGATGAAACGAAAACTTTACAGCTAATGTGAAAATGAAATTTATATGCTTATTTCTGAAAATGATCTTGGATTTACAAAACTCTGAATTCATCAGTAGTTATTTATCAAGTGGCTAGACTGTATATTATAATTGCTAATGAATTAACAGAACTTTGATATACATAAGAGGAAAGAAGGGAGTTCAAGATAAGGTATAAGCAGAAGCAAAGGCTTTGAGGTCAGGAGTAAATGGTATGTTTAGGAGATAGTAACATGTCTGAAGTATGAGGAGTGTATAGAAAGAATGCCATAAATTAAATTCAAAGGAAAGATAGCACCAAGGCCTTAAACCTCCTGTCAAGGAATAAGACTTTGTATTGTTGACAACTGGGACCCATTTAAAGGTTCTGAGGTAGGAAATTATGATCAGCTATGTCTTAAAATGATAATCTTGTTAGTGAAAGATATATTGCAAAGCTAAGGTATCTGAGGAAATGTGATTAGTTAAAAGTCTACTATAGTCTTCAAGGAAAAAGATAACATCCTCAACTAGGACACTGAAATGAAAAAAGAGACAAACGAGAGATAATATAAAAATGGGATCAAGAAGACTACAAGAGTGACTGCTTATACCACATGAGGAAGAAAAAAGGGTCAACTATGACTTTGTGGGTTCTAAATTGAAATAACTAAATCAAAATTGAAAAACTGAAATAAAAACACAGACAGAGAAGTAGGTCTTTAAATACTAATTCAGTGCCAATGGAATATTCATCTGAAGTTACCTAATATATTATTATATATTTGCACCAAAGATATATGAATTTTAATTTATCAGCATAATATAGGTAACATTTGAAACGATGGGAGGCTGAATATGAACATAAATGCAAACTGAAAGAGAAATGAAAAGAGGGTGAAGACATAGAATCCTGAAGAGTATAATTTAAAGGAGAGTTAGGGAAAAAACCAATGATGGAGAAAGGAGGGTTGAAAAAATGAGGTGGAACAATAGAAAAAAATGAAGAAACCATTTAAGAATGAAGGACTGATGTAAAGTCACAGGCTTAGTGAGGAACTTAAAAGACTAAGAAGGGATCCTTGGTGACTTATTAGATACTATTTCAGGTAAGTATTACAGATGATTTCAAACTATGACAGGAAAAGTGTTGAGAAAATTTTGAAAAGTTTAGTAATAACATGAAGTATATAACTATCTTTATTAAAATGACAGGACATAATTATGCATTATATAGATTTTATATAGTTTATATAATTCTAGATATAAAATAGGTAAAGAATATAATTCTACTGATTAACATTGTTAATATTTATATAGACATTTCATTGAAAAATTGCTTTCATTTACTTTTTAAGGTTAGAAACTTTCCTTCCACACTTTTTAAAGCTACAAGAAAGCTAGTTAATTGAGCATTCTCATCTGGATTTCCATTTCAGCTGCTCTACTCTAGTTCCAAGTGGCTAAACACACAGATGTGTTGTCTTATCTAAAGGCTAGTTTTGCAGAATAAATAATCTCCATCCTCATCTTTATTTTTATGTATTTAACAAAAGGAAAACCCTAGCTTAGCTCTCCAGGACCTTCTTATGATTAAAGGCACCCCGTAAGTTGCTCATAAAGCGCATAATTGTATGACATTGCTTGCCAGAATATTGCTCACAAATCATGATCAAATTACCCAGCTGGTATATCATTTACTTCTGAATTCTTTGTTACCATGATACTAATCTTGTATATAACATAAAATTGTATTTTGCCAGAACCACTAAGAAATGAATTGGGGTAGCAGTTATGGAATAACTAAAGGCTTGTATCTTTAAGCATCAAAATTTAAATTTTACTGTTATAAGGGGATGGAAGGGAGCACAAAAAGGAACTGTTATTTTAAAAATGTGTTTTCTTGTCAAAATTCTTTTTCTATTTATCTTAGTGTTGTCTTGAATTCTCTGGCACTCTTTCTATTAAAGCCTGGGTAATGCTAGACAATGACTTATGACCTGTATTTTCTTCCTATCTCTCACCACTGTACCAGTTTTTAAAATTTACTAGAGAGCCCAGATAATCACCTTTATTTCCACAGCTACAAGACATAAATCCCCTTTCTCACCTTTTGCCCTTAACCTCACTCTTTTCTCATTAGCCTCTTAAGAAGAAAATACTTAATGGCCTAGAATCAATCTGTGAATCCCTGAAGATCAATTAAGAGGCTATTCCTCAATATGAGTTCACTGATTTCTCTACATGAAAATCTAAAATCTCAATTCTGTATGATAAAACATACTTTAAGTTAGTAACAATAAGTATTACTATTTTAAAAATCTCTCCCTATTTTAAGAAGGCAAGTATTAGAAGATAAAGCCTTTCAAACTGACTACGTAAACTTTCTGTCACAGAAAAGCAATTTTCTAAAGATATGAACAGTATCTTTAGAGACTGTAAGGACAAAGAAGTAAGAAATAATCATGAAGCGTAAAGAAAAGAAAAAGATAAGTAATAGAAATCAATATATGTAAGATGTCAAAAAAAGCTTAAAAATAGTCCATCAAGGCAAAATTGCCACTCAGTAGAACAACTCTGAGGTGAAACTCATGCAAAAACCAATAGGCAGTGTGAAGAACTGAATCAGAATGAGGCAGTTTTCCAAAAATAAAAATATTGGTAATATACAAGGAGTAAAAGTAGACAACAGGCATAAAATCACAATAGGCTTTTCAGATATTTCAGTAGAAATCACTTACCTCATCATAGTAAACTCTCAGTTCTGCTCTTTTAGATTTCAAGTCCCAGAAAACTACAGTACCATTTTCATAACCTATTAGCAACTGGAAAACATAAGAACAATCATTTTTGTAATCCTAGCATTAATTTTAGCTTGTTCCAAGTAAAGATTAATGTTAATTAATGTTAATACTACATTACACAACTTTATTTAAAATACCAATCTTCCCAAACCTGAATATTTTCAACATTGAAAAATATTGGCAAAATAACTCTATTCAATATAAATATATACCAATGAAATGAGAAAACTAAACTTGTAAGTATGTATGTACTGTGCTTAGCTACTCAGTTGTGTATGACTCTGTGACCCCATGGACTGTAGCCTGCCAGGCTCCTCTGTCTATGGCGATTCTCCAGGCAAGAATACTGGGGTGGGTTGCCATACACTCCTCCAGGGAATCTTCCAACCCAGGGATCAAACCCATGTTTCCTGCATTGCAGGCAGATTCTTTACAATCTGAGCCACCAGGGAAGCATAAGTATGTATGACACAACATACAAATAAATGGGAAAACCGGAACAAAAGAAAAATGGAAGAGAAAATGAACATGAAATTAAGGTGATAACCTGAATAAACAGTGTTTATGCCATTCAGGCCTATGCACTTGAAAAATGTGGCCACAAATTTGGCTTCAAATTATTTTCTATCAAATCCAATTTTATCTCTGATTTAAGTCAGTGTTTCAAACTAGTGATTGATGAACTCTCAGTAGTTCACAAAGATACTCTAGAGATTCATGTCATTAAACATAGTTGATATTGACTTGTAAATCAATGACAATTAACAAAATATACATACTTCATTTCACAAGAAAAGCATTTGAGAACAGAAAATGATTATATGATCATACTCAAGATTCAGTCACTCAGCTAAATAGTACTTGCTGATGATTTTTGCTATAATATGACACTGAATGCGCAAACAACCACACAACTGCACTCATTTCAAATTCTAGCAAAGTAATGCTCAAAATTCTTAAAGCTAGACTTCAACAATACATGAACCAAGAACTTCAGCAAAGGCAGGGGAAACAGAGATGAAATTGCCAACATTCACTGGATCATAGAAAAAGCAACAGAATTCCAGAAAGACATCTACTTCTGCTTCATTAACTACACTAAAGCCACTGTGTGGATCACAACAAACTGTGGAAGATTATTCAAGAGATGGGAATACCAGACCATCTTACCTGCCTCCTGAGAAACCTGTATGCAGGCCAAGAAGTAACAGTCAAAACCAGACATGGAACAAAAGACTGGTTCAAAATTAGAAAAGGAGTATGTCAAGGCTGTATATTGTCACTCTGCTTATTTAAATTATATGCACAGCACATCATGCAAAATGCTGGCCTGAATGAAACATAAGCTAGAATCAAGGTAGCCAGAAGAAATATCACCAACCTCAGATATGCAGGTGATACCACTCTAATGACAGAAAACAAAGAGGAACTAAGGCACCTCTTGATGAGGGTAAAAGAGGAAAGTGAAAAAGCTGGCTTAAAATTCAACATTCAAAAAACTAAGATCATGGCATCTGCTCCCACCACTTCACAGCAAGCAGAAGGGGAAAAGGCAATAGATTTTATTTTCTGGGGCTCCAAAATCACTGTGAGTGGCAACTGCAGCCATGAAATTAAAAGATATCTGCTCCTTGGAAGGAAAGTGATGACAAGCCTAGACAGCATATTAAAAAGCAGAAACATTACTTTGCTGACAAAGGTCCACATAGTCAAAGCTATGGTTTTTCCAGTAGTCAGGTATGGATGCAAGAGTTGGACCATAAATAAGACTGAGCACTGTCGAGGCCTGTGAAATGTGGTGCTGGAGAAGACTCTTCAGTGTCCCTTGGACTGCAAGGAGATCAAACCAGTCAATCCTAAAGAAGTCAACCCTGAATATTCATTGGAAAGACTGAGGATGAAGCTGAAGCTCCAACATTGTGGCCACCTGATGCAAAGAGCCAACTCAATGGAAAAGACACTGATGCTGGGAAAGATGGAAAGCAAAAGGAGAAGGGAACAGCAGAGGATGAGATGGTTAGATAGCATCACCAACTCAACGGACGTGAATCTGAGCAAACTCTTGGAGACAGTGAAGGACAGGGGAGCCTGGCATGCTGCAATTCATGGTGTCACAAAGAGTTGGACATGACTTATGGACTGAACAACAACAAAAACAACCAGAAAACATCGGGCCTGGTGCACTGGGAAGACCCAGAGGGATCGGGTGGAGAGGGAGGTGGGAGGAGGGACCGGGATGGGGAATACATGTAAATCCATGGCTAATTCATTTCAATGTATGACAAAAACCACTGCAATGATGTAAAGTAATTAGCCTCCAACTAATAAAAATAAATGGAAAAAAATTTTTTTTAAATTTAAAAAAAATGGTAAAAAGCACATGCCTATCAATAATCACTTTAAGTGGAAATAAACTCAATGCCCCAACAAAAAGACACAGGGTAGCTAAACAGATAAAAAATAAATAAGTAAATAATCATCTATATGCTGTCTACAAGAGACTCAATTCAGAGCTAAAGACACACATAGACTGAAAGTGAAAGGATGGAAAAGGATGTTCCATTCAAACAGAATGAAAAGAAACTAGGGGTAATACAATTTTTATCAGCAAAACAGACTTTAAAACAAAGACTGTAACAAAAGGAAAAGAAGGGCATCACATAATGTTAAGGGGCTCAACTCAAAAAGAGGAAATAATATTAATAAATATATACATGTACCTAACATAGGAGCAACTAAACATATAAGCCAAATTATAACAGACACAATAAAAGCAGAAATTGCCATAACAAGTATTAGTAGGGGATTTTAATACCCAACTTACAACAATGAATAAATCATCCAGACAGAAAATCAATAAGAAAACACTGGCCTTCAAAGATATGTTGACAGTTGAACTCAATAGATATTTACTAAGCATTCCATCCAGAAGCTACAGAATATGCATTCTTTTCAAGAGCACATAGAATATTCACCAGGACATATCACATGGTAGGCCACAAAACTAATCTCAATAAATTTAAGAAAAGTAGAATCACATCAAGTATCTTTTCTGACCATAAGGGTATGAAACTAGATATCAATTATAGGATGAAAGGTGGAAAAGACACAAACACATGAAGACCAAACAACAGGTTGCTAGAAAATGAAAGGGTCAATGAACAAGTCAAAGAGGAAATTTAAAGATGAGATGAATGAAAATAGAAACACAACTTCTCAAAATCTATGGGATGCAACAAATACAGGTGAGGAGTTTATAACATTGCAAGCCTACCTCAAGAAACAAACAAAAGTATCAAAAAACCTAACTAGAAATCTGAAAGAATTACAAAAATAAAACAAAGCCCAACATTTAGAAGGAAGGAAATAATAAAGAAAAGGGGAGAGCCCAAGGAGAGAAATATATGAAACAAAGACACAAAATGGGGGGGGGGAATCAATAAAACTAAGAGGTTAACTTTTTAAACATAAAGAAAATTGATGAACTTTTAGCCAGATTTATCAAGAAAAAAAAGAGCCCAAATAAATACAATAAAAAAATGAACAAGAAGTTTTGAAGACATCACAGAAAGGCAATAACTGAAGAATACTACCAACATTTATATGACAACTTGGACAATCTAGAAGAAATGCACAAACTGCAAGAAATGTAAAATATCCCAGGAAAATGTAGAAAATATGAAAAGACCAATTACCAGTAATGAAACTGAATCTGCAATTAAATTTTAAAAAAAGACCAAAAAAACTCCCAACAAACTCCAGGATCACATAGCTTCACAGTGGAATTCTACCAAATATTTAAGGATGAATTGGCACTTATCCCTTTCAAACTCTTCCAAAAAATTAAAAAGAAAGGAACACTTCCAAACTTATTCTTTGAATCCAGTATTACATTGATATCAAACCCAAAGACATTACAAGAAAGGAAATTACAGGCCAATAAATCTGAAAAATATGGATGCAAAGATCCTCGACAAAATATTAGCAAACAAAATTCAACAGCATATAAAAAGAATCTTACGCCATGATCAAATGGGATTTCTCCCAAGAGTGCAAATTTGGTTCAGTATCTGAAAATCAATCACTGTGATACATCACATTAACTAAGGGAAGGATAAAATCACATGATTATTACAAAAGGTGCAGAAAAGGCATTTGACAAAATTCAACAGTCACTCATGATAAATATTGTCATCAAAGTGGGTATAGAGGGAATATATCTCAACATAATAAAGGCCATATGTGACAAAACCACAGGTAAACATTATAGTAAGTGGTGAAAAGTAAGTGGTAAATACTTTTTCTCTAAGATTAAGAACAGGAAAAGAATGTTCATTCTTATTTAATATACTATTGGAAGTCCTAACCACAGGAATCAGACAATAAAAATAAGTAAAAGGCATCCAAATTAGAAGGGAAGAAGTAAAACTGTCACTATTTGTAGATGACATGATGCTTCATATAAAAAACTCTAACAACTCCACTCAAAACCATTAGAGCTAATAAGAAATCAGTAAGGATGCAGAAGAATTAATATACATAGATCTGCACTCCTATACATTAAAAATGACCATCAGAAAGAGAAAGCAAGAACATGATCCCATTTAGAGCTGCATCAAAAAATATAAAATACTTAGGAATAACTTAACCAAGGAGGTGAAAGATCTACACTCTGAAAACTATATGACACTGATGAAATAAATTGAAGACAACATAAATAAGCATAAAGATATTCTACGCTCATGGACTGGAAGAATTTATAGTGTTAAAAAGTCTATACTACCCAAAGCAATCTACAGATTCAATGAAGTTTCTATCAAAATACCCACAGCATTTTTCACAGAACTAGAACAAATAACCCTAAAATTTGAATGGAACCACAAAAGACCCTGAATAATCAAAGCCATCTTGAGGAAGAACAAATCTGGAGGTATTACATGCCCTGATTTTAAAAAATACTATAAAGATAAAGTAATCAAAACAGTATGATGTTGCACAGAAACAGACAAGTAGATCTATGA